AGCTATCGTGGGTGGGTGATGGCGGCGAAAGTTATCGCAGTTTCGAACGGCGGTCCCAGTGGACCGTTGCCGAGATAGGCCGAGTGGTACATGACATAAGCCGTTCACGGGGTCCGGACTCGCTCTAAGCCCTGCTTCGGAGCCGCGCCGCGGCCTGGCGGGACAGTGGACCCCTGCCAACTCCGCCACCCTTGAGTTTGAGTACTTAGGTCTGCTCCTCCCCAGGAGTCTACTACTCGATGCGTCTATCGGTTTTTTTCGGTTTGTGATACGCTGGAGCTCGAGCGATGTAAGGCTGGTGTGGTATCATATCGGCACCAGGACTGACGAGAATATGTAGGTACACGAAACTCCCGACGCACCCCGGTGCATTGAATAGTCGCCCGGGCCATAATCATGATTCATGAGTTACGAGATTTCATGTGGCCGCCGTGTCACCGCGCCGCCTACGCATACGACAATGCGTGGAGCTCGCATACTGTAAGATCTAATCATAGCACCCAGTGCGCTTCGAGCAGAGCGGTCATCTGGACGTTCCGCTGCCTCAATTGGGCCACTGCTCTTCTTGCGCCTTCCAGGCGCGTTATTGTCTGGTGACGCTGTCGGCGTTCGTACGCCGCTGCCGGCGGAACCGATGTGACCATTTCGGAATTGCTCAGTGCTTGGGCTGTGTACTATGTGTAGCTGCACTGCTCCTGTGGGTCCGACAAATTCGTCGGAGCGGGCGAGGCATGCCGCGACCAACGAACTTGATGACGAGTAATGTGAGCTCCGGCCGCCGGAAGGCTACAACCACCACTGCCACAGAGACCTGCAGTGATCTTGAAGTCTTCATTCTGGGGCTCCGGAAAGCCCAATAACGATAGATCTCGCCCCCACCCAGCTGAGCTCGAGCCCTACCACCCACGGGTCTGCACTGGCCACAACAGCAGGCGCTGTGGGCAGCAAAGTCTCGGGACATCGGGCAACGGAGCACGGGTACCGTCTGCGTGGTCATCATATGATGGCCGCTCTCTAGACGCTGCACGGGATGGAGGGATTACAGTGTCTCAGCCTGGACCGACCCACGCAGAGGTGCGCAAGCAGCTGACTTCCTACTCTCCACGCCCCACCCAGACTGGAAGGCGCAGCTGGATAAAAGGGCCATCTTGCGCCGTTCGTAGATCCCAGACAGTTTGCCTCATCTGCATTGCGTCCCAACTTGAACTCCTTACAAGTGAACGCCATCCACAAGTTAACTTGATAGCCATGCAGTTCACAACCATCGTCACGCACCTCTTCGCCATCTTCACAGTCGCCCTCATGACCGCTGCCAGGTCCAAGCACCTCGTTACGCGAGATGTCTACGCGCCTCCCGTTACCTACCCGCACGCCGGCACTGTCTGGAAGGTCGGGCAGTATCACAATGTAACATGGTGCGTGGCGTCAGCTTCCCTCGGAAGCTGGTGAGGTACAGACTCACACGCCTGATTCTGTGCAGGGACACCTCCGACCCGCCGCAGAATATAACGAACGCAGTAGGCCGAATTGTTCTGGTGAAGAATGGTGAAGAGACGAACTGTGTGTGGAATGAATCCGTTGCGCTGTCATGGCCGAGCTGATGCGCTGCATTGCAGTCACTTTGGCGTCGTGCTTCTACATCCTGATTGGGCGGATCACAGTGCAGGTTCCGGAAGTGGCACCAGGCAGTGACTACTCCCTTGTCTGTGAGTTGTCTTTGCTATCAGCGCACAGGATGAATGGGTCTGCTCACCGCGTGTCAGTGTTTGGCGACTCGGGAAACTTCAGCCCCACGTTCACGATCACGGACTAATGAGGTCACATACGGCTTCAAACAGAACCTAAACAGAACGCCATGGTTCATACGGATGGACAACGTACGGACATTCCAATGGACTTGCGGTTTTGTTACTTGAAATTTCGGACAATTCGGACTTCTGTTTTACTGTTTGCTAATTGTACCGTGGACCTGGGAAAAGGACTCCTTTATGATAAAGCCCTGATGTCGACGGGATGTACAATTCGAAGCGAGTCGTTATATGATGTGCGTTATGATTGCATGATGTGGGAGTCCCAGACTCCCAGAGAAGGTGGTGGCGGTCTGCTGAGGTTCGGACATGGCGATCGCCGAGCTTCCGAGCGCCTCGCCCGCCGGTCGCCATCCGGCGCCGGCGCCAGCTCCGAGCCATGGGTCACGCGCACGCACGCGCGGCGAACAATCGAGCGTGCTTGACCAACGCTTGACCAAACTCCTCTCACTGCTGGTGCCAGACCTCGAAACCTATTTTCATAGCAGCTCAGATACTAGAACTTTGTGCCCTGTATCTGGCTCAACTCTGGGGAGACCGTATGGTTCCAGATGGTCTCAACTGCGCTTGATTGCGGACTCGGACCGGACCCACTACAGCGGATTGCAAAACGATAGGCCCCTTTTTGACTTTTTACACACGCAGCCGGAGTCTAGCGGGGATCGGAACTATCACCAGGCAGCAGGAACCGTCCAATCACATTTGCCCGCGCACCCATTAGCCAAGCATGACTAATCGAAATGAGTGCGCTTCAGACGGACCTTCCATTTTGGGCAGGGCGGGGATCAAACGCCTGCGTGTGTAAACGATCGAGAAAGGGCCTAAGATTATGCGATCCGCTGTAGGCGCTGTGGGACCGCGTTGCAACCAGTGGGAGAAATTGTGCTTTTGATCTTCCTGACCCACTCGTGAACTGAACGTTGGACCCTGAAGCTCATGGTTGACTCTACTGTTTATTGTTTTCTTCGCTTCGAATTGACTGCGCCGCGCCCGCGCGCTTCCTTTAAACCCGACCCTTAGGGCGTACGTCGTCAGTACTACCCTTCGCTCATCTAACCTCTCATGTTGGGCAAACTGTGGATGTCTTTTCCCATTGTCTGGGCTGCATCGCTCGTGTCAGCAGCCCAAATCCCCATGAGTCTTTCCAGCTTTGGTTACCGAACGGAACGAATGTTCAGTGGAGTCCAGGTGGACGAGTTTACCGTCCTCAGACACCCCGCGTTTCCTGGACATTCCGCTAGGATCAAACAAGTAGATTTCTGCGACCCTACCGTTCAGTGAGTATGGCTCCTAGGCTCCCTTGTGAAAGTCACTGACCAGACGGTCGACGGCAGCGCATATACCGGGTACTTGGATGTTGACGCCAATCATTTCTTCTTCTACTTCTTCGAAAGTAGGAGCGACCCCCAGAACGATGATGTCATATACTGGACAAACGGGGGTAAGTCGCTTAACTCTGACTGCGCTTTTTGTTGGGTGTTCACTGGCGTGGATAGGGCCAGGCGCGTCTTCGACGATAGGGTTGTTCATGGAACTCGGTAAGTTCTGTCTAATCGGACTCGTGGTTCATAGTTTGATCGATCAATCCCAGGACCTTGCCGCATCACAAATGCTACTGAGGGTCCCCAGTTCCACCCTCATTCTTGGAACACAAACGCAAACGTTCTGTTCGTCGACCAACCAGCTGGCGTTGGGTATTCATACGAGGATCATGGTCACCTACCGACGTCAACGGAGCGCATCGCGCAGGATATGGCCGCCACTCTAGCGCTGTTCTTCACTAGTTTCCCCACCCTCAAAGGGCGAAGGTTGCACTTGGCTGGGGAATCGTATGGCGTGAGTACTACATGTGCCCCCGCTTGCAGGCTCAGCTCCCAATGACATTCCTATGCGTCAGGGTCGCTATATCCCTCTCTTCGCATCTGCAGTATACGACCAAAATGCAGCTCTCATTGAGGCCGGGCTGGAGCCTCTGAATCTTGTCTCAGCGATGATCGGTACGTCCAGCATGCGGCAATTCAATGGGGCGTTCTATTTGAAACGGTGTGGCATAGGGAACGGCCAGACAGACCGCATCGACAATCTGCTATCTTACTACGACTTTACCTGCACGCCTGCGACCGTGCCGCCAGTGTTTGATGTCAGGTCCGCCTGCCGTCTTGTATACCCATCTGCGCATGATTCTGAGAATAGTATAGTACATGCGTCCGCATGAAGGCAGCAGTAAGTCTTCCGGTACTTATATTGGCAATCTCTACTCATACGCCCACGCAGAAAGTTCGTTGCGAACGATGGGCAAAAGCAGCCTGCGAAACTCACTTTGACTTCATGGACTGCCAAGCTGCCGAGGCATACTGCGCTGTCGAGCTCCAAGACCCATTCGTGACGCTCGGGCTCAATTTCTACGACATCACTGAGAAGGCAGACTGCCTGGGCACTGACTTGTGCTACCCCGTTATCGGGTGCGCTACTGCCCTCCTCTGACGGTTGTGTGGTCTGACTTGCCTCAGGGAAATCACGCAGTACCTGAACCGCACAGACGTGCGCGAGATGCTCGGCGTCGACCCACGCGCCAACGTCAACCTCTCCACCATGTCGTGGGACGTGTTCTGGTCTATGACGCGCGCGGGTGATGTGCTGCACAGCTCGAAAGAGCACGTCGCGGCGCTGCTCGCACATGGCGTGCGCGTGCTGCTGTACGTCGGCGCGAACGACTGGTCGGCCAACTGGGTCGGCACCGAGAAGTGGTCGCGTGAGTTGGACTGGTTCGGTCACGCGGACTTTGCGGCGCAGCCGCTGCGCGCGTGGAACTTCGATGGCACACGGGCGGGCGTGATGCGCAGCGCGCATGGGTTCACGTTTTTGACCGTCGACGGGGCGGGTCATATGGTACGCGGTCTTTTATTTACTCAGGATGACGCCGGATGCTCATGGTATCCAGGCACCGTATAACAAGCCCGCAGAGACTCTCTCGCTCATCCAGCGCTGGATTGCGGATGAGCCGATATAAGCAGAGATATCAATTGCTCACATACTGGAGCACTCACGAAGTTGCCCTTAGACCGATGTGTTCAGTGTGCTATTGGAACAAATACACGTTTACACCTATTATCCATTGGAAGTTTGCATGGTGTGCGATGTTGTCTATGATGGAATCCTTGCGAAGGGCAAGGTGGGAGGGGCAAAAAAACCTTCGGATACGGGGAATCGAACCCCGAGCTGCCGCGACCATATTGAGAGGCGGCAATGTTAGCCGTTACACCATATCCGATGGTAACAATAAGTGGCCCAAAAATGCAAGACCCGACATGATTTGAAAATAAATGAGGGAGACGTCGACGTTTCTGAGGCTCGCCTTGGGCTCGCCCGATGCATTTACGCGCTGGACTCCACCAGCCTAAGCACCGCTACCGACTCGACATGCGCCGTCTGCGGGAACAAATCGAACCCTCGCACGCTCTCCAGGACATACCGCCCGACCGCCTTGCCCTCCCTCTCCTCCGCCGCGGACCAACTCAAAATCTGACCCACGTCGCGCGCCTGCGTGTGCACATTGCAGCTGACGTACACGACGACCTGCGCGCGGAACGCAAGCAGCTGCCGCACGAATGGCTCGTCGCAGCCTTTTCGCGGCGGGTCGACGACGAGCGCGGTGCGCGCGGGCGGGAAGTCGCGCACCGCGCCGAAGATCTGCGCCGCGTCGCCTGCGCGGAACTCGACCTTCTCCGCGAGCCCGTTGAGCGCCGCGTTGTGCGTCGCGAAGCGAATCGAGTCGGCGGAAAGCTCGATGCCCGCCACGCGCTCGAAGCGCTCGGCCAGCGCGAGCGCGAAGAGGCCCGCGCCGCAGTAGGCGTCGACGAGGTGCGTCGGCGGCGGCTGGGTGGTGCCGGTGCCGTCGGGCGGGAAGATCGCGTCGCGGACGTAGGAGGTGAGCGGGACGAGGACGGAGTTGTTGTTCTGGAAGAACGAGCCGGCCTGATAGTCGAAGAGCAGGTCGCCGACGCGCTCGCGCACGGTCGCCTTGTGGTCCGTGATGCACATGTGCTTGTCGTCAGCAGCAGGCTCGGTGGTAGGAGTAGGGCCATTGCCTCCCGGTATCTCTAAGGAGTCGCGGAGCAGAAGCGATACGCCCTTTTTGTAGGAGTATATTTTCCTGAGCAGGTCAGCCATGTACCAAAACCCAATTACGGCGAAATCTTACTTTGTTATATCATCCCGCATTGGTGCGTAAGTCTGGTTGAGAACAGGAGTGGCAATGGGACATTCCTGCAGGATTGGTGTCAGGAGTGGAGATAGACAGCTCGCGCGCACGTACCTCTATGTCCATCACCACGCGTTTGCCGATTTGGTTGAACCCAATCTTCAGCCAGGAGGGCTTGCCTTCCTCATCCGCAGGACGCCCTTGTTTCTGCAGCTTTTTGGGCGGCGGTTCAAAGTGGGGTGTGATCTTTGTCCGGTAGCCGTATTGCAAAGGAGAAGGTATCGTCGGTTGGACAGTGGGCACCGAAGACCCAGGGAGGTCTGACTGGCTGTCACTAAAAATAGAGATATGCAGTGCAAGATAACGAACCAGAGTAGTTCTGGTAGGCCTTCACGACCACATTGCGCTTGAGGTCAAGCTGCGTGTCGTATGAGAGCATCTGCGCGAGAATCATGGGAGAAATCGGATGCGTCGAGGACGAAACATGCCCACCTGGTACTGACAGCCCGCGCACGTTCCGAAGTACTTGCACTTGACGCGGCTCATGTCTCTCAGCTCCGGATTCGGTACTTCGACGCTGATCAGATCCGCAAAAGAGTACATCTTCCCATGTCGGTAAACACGGGCGCGGACGACTTCTCCAGGTAGCGCGAGCGGCACGACGACGACCCACGGCCGCTTCGACGGGGGAGCAACAGCCAGTCCTTCACCTGTCCAACGAGGCACGTCAGCAAGCATGCGCATAAGGAGGCCCGTCAGGAAGACATGGGAGGCGCGACCGGGCCCAGTAGACCTGCACAGACCTTGGGGCGTGACATACCACTGGGCGCGATGCTCGACACGGCAAGCTCGACCTCCTCGCGGAACCCAAACGGCGACTCCCACTCCGTGCCATCCGCCTCTGCCTGCTCTACCGCCTCCTTCCCGAGCAACGCCAGCACGTCGCGCGCAACGACGTCTTCCGCGGAGCCAGGGTCGGGCGCAGCATGCTTCTGCTTCTTCTTGCCGCGCTTGGTGGCACCCTTCTTCGGCGCAGCAGGAGCTGCAGCTGCGGCTTCGTTGGCCGCAGTCGGCGCCTCCGAGGGCCCGTCCTCGAGCCTCACATCCGGTGATGCCAAGCGGGGCCTCTTTTCCGCTGGCTGCGACGACGACTGCGCAGGCGATGCGGACCGAACTCTCGAATCTGACGCGTCCATCCGTCGTGCGAGCTGTGCGTGCGTGTGGCGCGTCCTACCCGTAGCCCGCCAGGCGAAGATGCGAGTAGAAGAGAATGCGCCGCGGAGCATCGCTCGAAAATCGGAAAAGAAATCCGGACGAGCGAGGTCGCGGGCCCACGTGATGCGGAGCGCGTCGTCGGCTGGCGCGCGCCAAGTGCGCTCATAATTCGGACTCGGCCTGGGCGAAAACGCACTCTCACCCCAACTCCCATGACACCCCGACCGGCGAGCGCGAAACTCGCGCGAGCCATCGTGCTCATCTCTGCGAAATCTATGGCGCACGCGTTCCCATTCATGAGCACCGTCGCGGGGCCCGGTGAGGCCGACAAGACAGGGGAGCCCGTCGGGTCGCCCAACTTCTGGTGGAAGGTGATCATCAGCGCGGGCTTAGTGCTACTGGGAGGTGTCTTTGCAGGGTGCGTCTCTGCTATCCGTTCGCCGCGCTCGGCGCTGACGTGTGGCGTCAGGCTCACCCTCGGTCTCATGGGGCTCGACGAGCTGCACCTCCGTGTGTTGTCCGCGTCGTCGGACGACGAGAAAGAGAGGGCCAACGCTGTGAAGGGTACGTAATGGGTCGGACAATCGATGACCCGCCCTGACGAGAGCCCCCAAGTCCTGAAACTGCTGAACAGGGGCCGCCATTGGGTGTTGGTGGTACGCCGGGCTGCCGCCTTGGCGCCCTCTATGCTGATTTCTTGGCCCTCAAGGTCCTGCTACTAGGGAACGTTGTAAGTCGTAGCGTATATAGCTCAGCATCGTCTCACGCCACCTGCAGATCGTGAACGAGAGTCTACCCATCTTCCTAGACAGTGCGGTGAGCGAAGCCACTCTCTAACATCTTGAGGTGCTAAGCCGAACAGATTGGCGGCGGGGTCGCCGCGGTCGTCATATCCACCACCATGATTGGTATTTCCACGTCGCGTGCCGTTCGTGCGCCCAGCGCTGACCCTGCTTCCCTCCAGTTATCTTTGGGTGCGCCGCCTGCCTAACTCCGCACCGCAACTTCTGACTCCGATGAATCTCTGGCCGAAATAGAGAGTACGTACCATTGACTACACCAGCAGCTTCTGTATCTCACCGTCATGCAGAGTTATTCCCCAAGCCGTGAGCGTGCGCTACGGCCTCTCCATCGGCGCCCGCTGCGCGCCCATAGTCCTTACCCTTATGTATCTCTTCGGTCCGTACCTCCCTGCGCCCCTTTCCCAGCACCCACTTACGGACGCACACAGCCCCTATCGCGTGGCCCATGGCCAAGCTCCTCGACTATGTCCTCGGCGCGAGCGAGGCGAACACGTATAAAAAAGCCGAGCTCAAGTCCTTCCTGCAGTTCCACCGCACGGGCGAGGAGCCGCTACGCGACGACGAGATCAGCATCCTGAACGGCGTACTCGAGCTCAACACGAAGAGCGTCGAGGCGATCATGACGCCCATGAAGGTGCGCGTCCGCCGCGCGCCCCGCGCGCCCGTCACTGCAGCTGATCCGGGCCCAAACAGGACGTCGTGACGCTCAGCTCGGACGCGATCCTCGACGCGAAGACGATCGAGCACATGTGCGTGTCTTGCGCAGCCCGACGGCACACACTCCTGACGCGTGTAGCGTTGCAGACTGTTGAGCGGGTACTCGCGCTTCCCGATCCACGATCCCAACAACCCGCTCGCGTTTGTGGGCCTGCTGCTCGTGAAAAAGGCACGCCCCATTATCGCCCTGGCTGCCTAGTGCCAGGCCGTGCTGACTTGCGTACGCGGCAGCTTCTCACGTACGACCCGGCGAAATGCTGGCCTGTGTCCAAGTTCCGCCTGTCGATCCTCCCTGAGGCCAAGCCGACCATCAACTGCTTCCAGGCGCTGGACTACTTGTGCGTGCCCGTTCTCCTGAGCTACCTGCCAGCTGACCGGCCGATGCGCCCTATAGCCAAACGGGCCGCGCGCACCTGCTGCTTATCAGCAATACCCCTGGTACTGCCGGCGGCGCGATCGGCGTGATCACGCTCGAAGGTACGCCCCGCGCGCTGCTCGCCGCCCGCTCGCGCTCACGCTGCGCACGCGCAGACATCATCGAAGAGATCATCTCGGAGGAGATCGTCGACGAGACGGACCGATACGAGGACAACCAGTCCAAGCGGCGCGCCAGGCGGATGACGACGGCCACCGTCATGCGCGGGTACGTGCTCCTCCCGCCTCGCCTCTGCCGTGCTTGTGCTTACGACGCGCGCGCGCAGGATCGTGGAGCGCGAGCGGCGGAACGACTCGGCGGCCGTGAGCGTCGGCGAGCGCACGCCGCTGCTCGGCGCGTGGCCGAGCAGCCCGGACCCCGGCGCGAGCGTGCAGGCGACGCCGAACCCGAACGGCACGTCGTATAGCGCGGCGCTGAGCGAGTCGCCGCGCGCATAACACGCCGCGATCTATCCACTTCTTTCTACATGTATATTCCCTCTGCTGTGCTACATTTGGTTCTGCACTTATGCAACTGGAGTGCCCTGCGCGATCGCGGTGTGCCGGCGCCGACTTGCAGCTCAGGCCTCCGCGATCATCTCCACCGTAGCCGCGCGGTCCAGCTCGCGCAGCCGCGCCTGTCCACCCGTCCACACGAACCACGTAGTGCATGAGCACACCCATGCGCCGCACGCGCACGACAGCACGGAAGCACGCACCTCGAGAGCAAACAGGTGCGAGTCGTAGGCCTCGGGCGCAAGCGCGCGCACTGCCGCCGCGAGGTTGTACAAGTAGTCCTGCCCCGCCATCAGCCCCGCGGCCGCGCACCCAGGCCCGCGACGCACCTTGTTGCGCCCCGACGGCCCTACAGCGGCCCATATCGTGCGCGCAAGCGCGTCGAGCGGCTCCGCGCCGACTGCG